TCTTGATCCACCCCTTTACAGTAGCATCACACATGTCCCAAGCATCCAAGTACATTGAGTTGGTACCGGCGGAGATCGCGGCAACGAACCATCAACAAAGGCGTGCTTGTTCATGGCAATAAGAGTTTCCATCATGTCAGTAGCCCATACGCCATAGTTGAGATCATTCTGGAGGTCACTGCCGAAAAGCTTACCTGGATTTTGAGATGGGTGAAGGAAGAGATGGGAATCGAAGAAACCATGTCGGCTCCGATAAGGGGTCCCTTGGTGGCACTCAAAGAATCCTCTGTCTCTACCATCATAAACAACAATCAATTTTGGCTGGATCGATTACTGCTATGATACCATATAAAATCTGATGAATGCGGAAAGTAAATGAGACGATGATTACCCAAACAATACACTAATGACATTTACACGTTAACAGAAGTGGATCACGGCTGTTTTAAGCAATTCACACCAAATATAGGGTAGATCACTGGACACACCCGCGAGCTACTCCTAATTACCTAGGTTAAAAATTCAAACGATCAGAATTTGGCGCTCAATTATCCGATCGTATCGGAAAAAAATTATTCCTCATAACTTTTCGAGATCTTCGAAGCCTCAAACCGTCGCTTTCATCTAAAAAAAATGTCGTTTTCTACCCCAAACAAGTTATTTTTTTATTTCGCCAAACTTTGGAAGATCGTAACTTTGTGCTCCGCAGTTCGATCATCATAACTTTAGTAATATGCACAACTTTTTAAGGAATACAAATTTTGCTATTGAAGTGTTTTCCGAATGTATTTGGAAATGTGGAAATTAAATCTAAACTCATTCCCCAAAACCACTTAAATCCAAAAAAATCTCCTATTTTTAAAAATTTCTTTCTAGTAAAAGTTGTAGATCCCAAAATGGTATGTGGAAAAAAAAACTCTACTTTCGGATAAACGATAGCAAAGTTACAATCGTTTGAATTTTTGAACCTAAATTAGAAGTAGTCGTGAGGCTGACCAGCGATCTTGGGTGATTCGCTGGGATTATTCGGGAACCATGTTGATTTTAGGGTCATTTGCTTGCTCGGTCGCGATCTGGATTCTTCGAATCTGGTTCGCTTCCAAAACTACATGAACCAAATCCTCCATCAAAATATGTCGCAACTTCTATGGGTGCTTGGTAAGATCATGCACCCATAATGAATAGATAAGACTGTACTTTGAGATTCTATTTCCTTATGAACTATACGAATCACACAACCTAGAGTTATTTGTCTACGAATGACCCTGAGAATAGAAGCTAGCAGATGAATTGGATCAACAGGTTTTTGATGAGCTAGCTATATAGCGAATTGTGAATATCAATCCATGATCAGGAATTGAATTCCTCGTTAACAGGCTAATTGCAGTCCTCGGTGGATTGTTGCTAGCTCCTCGTTGACAGGCTAATTGCGTGTCACGGTTATACACCTATGGAAGTCGCTATACTAGGAAACCTTACACTGCTCCATCAGTTTTCAGTTCATACAACCTAAAGAAAGAGGCCATCACCTCTGGACTCCGGTGAGATGGTATTGGTTGAAAAATAGTTCTTGACAGCCATCTAGATGAACGCACGCACTCTTACCGACACTTGATGAGACTAATGTAATTTCTTTTCTCATATTTGGAACAAACTTTTCTCAATATTTGTAAGAACAGTTTTTAATTGATGAAATATTCAAATGATATTACTCATAATTATTTTTTATTATTTTTATTTTAGTCCTTAAAATGTTTTTTTACCTAAATTTATGTATTTATTAGAAGTAATTTTCCTCTTACATAACATTTGAAACCAAATGAATCAAGAATTCCAAAAATACTAATTTTCATTTCAAAATGAGTTACTCAGAATTCATTTATACAAAATGATATTTATATTTGATTTCAAATAATTACTAGAAATTTGAACATCTATTTAGTTTCTTCTTTAACAAAAGAAAAGAAAAGAACATTTTTATTTTTATATTTTTTATTAGGTCGATCATTCAATATTTTACGTTTTTGTGTTTACTTTCGTTTCAAATAAGCTATTACCATTCAGGTTTTCACCAAAGTTTCAGCTACATATATTTTCAGTTTTTTGTTTTATTTTTTAATAAAAAACACTTTAATTTCCTTTAGGATTGATTTTCCGTTACCATCATAATAAACTGAAATGCTTTCCTATAAGAATAAATAAATAAATAAATAAATAACTGAAATGCTTGCACCAAAAAAGAAAATGAAATGCAACTATGCAAGTTATTAAGTAAACAAGGGTTGAGGGTAAAATAACTCGGGTACCACTAAAGTTTGAGAATTGGGGCAGACATACTATTTAAGTTTGAATAGGGCGTCGGGTACCATTAAAGTCACCAAAATGTGCATCCGTCTATTTTTCCATCCAACCCAAAATTTTAATTACTTTTTGGTACCCAAAACTTTTTTAAACATCCAAAACTATATTTCAACAAGTTTTTATCTAATATAGAAATTAAAAACCTTCTAAACATAATATTACTAAAACGAATAATCAAAGTTTTCAATAAAATAGATAAGTTAGTAAAAATAATAAACAAATATCAAGAAGAAGAATAAATATATAGAATATAATAATAAATATTTAAAATCAATATTAGAAGATCTATTTAAATCACTAATCCGATAAGATGTACCATTAAAAATAGTTAAAATAGAATCTAATCGATCAAAATCTTCTATTCAAAAATTAAAAATAAAAGTGAATAATTCAATTATTAGAAAACATAATGATAATTGAAAATACTTATAATGATAATTGATTTTAAATTTTCTATTCAAAAATTAATTTGGTATCAAGTTTTCAAAAGAGGATACCAATTAAATAATAAAAATTGATGTTTTTCATAAATCAAAATGATTTTTTATAATAAGAAAAGTAGAAGGACCAATTAAGAAATTTAGAAAACAGAATATTCCAAGAATATTCTGTTAACTTTAATGGAATGCACTTAACATTAAACTTAAGTGGTACCGGGTGCACAAATACTAGAGTTCAGTGGTACCCGACGCCCTATTCAAATTTAAGTGGTATGTATGCCATAATTCTGAAACTTAAGTGTGGTATCCGAGGTATTTTACCCCAAGAGTTGACATATGAGAGGAATTTGAGCTCGGTGTAATTAGGCCCATTTGGAAAATAGAAACATCAAAACCCAGACCTTGTTCGTACCTTCATCCCAACCCGACCCGGCCCACCAAACTGCTGGATCCAACCCGATCCTTAACAAAGCTCTTTCATCTGATCTGCCCCTTTCTGTCGTGGTCTTTGAGATCACTCGTTGGAATTCTTTACTTCACTGGAGGTTAGGTTGTGACCTGCGGTTAGTGTAAAAATTTGCAGTGCGTTCATTTCCAGCCTAGTTATTCTGCTAACTTGAAGATTCGTTAGTATATACTAACTAATATCCAAAATGTATGAACTAATATCCAAATCTGCTAAGTATCTAGATAGCATAGACTAGTATTCAAAACATCACAAACTAGTATCCAGATAGCATATACCAACTAATATCCACAATCAACCAACTAGTATTCAAAATGAATACTCTTATGGGTTATTTGGATAATCTTATGTGTTATCTGGATACTAATTATGTGCTGTTTGGATACTATTCTGTGTTGTCTAGATATTAGTTTGTGAATTTGGAATAATAGTTTATTCATGGTCGATATCAGTTAATAAATTTTGAATACTAGTATGTGCTCTCTAGATACTTTAGTACTTGGATATTAGTTCATGTATTTTGGATATCAGTTAGTATCTGCTAACGAATCTTCAAGATAGCATATTAACTTTTCCCGTTCATTTCCCCTTCCTTCCGACGAAGAGTGTTGTTGTCGTCGGCCAACGCCACGACCTACAATTTGGCGTTGCAAGTTCGAGGTACCAGAAGTTTCATTTTCCAGAGTTCACAATTTTACTGTGGAACTGTCGAGTACCTTCTTTCTCTTTTCATAATATTTGTGACTTGGAACGAACGAATGATTTCATCCTCCTACGCGATCATTGCGCTCGCCGTCGACATGGCTTTAGGGCGCTTTGATGAGGACTGAAGTTCAGTCGGCTGGTTACGTATGTTAATGGGAATTGCAGGATAGGTCTACTTTTTGTGGAGTGCCTTAATTGCGTGGGGGGAAATGCATGGTTCTTTCCGGAGGAAATTATGGGTGATTCTTGCTTGCACGATTGCTTTTCTTTCTTTTGGTGGTTGCAACTTGAGAGAGTTCTGGAGTTATTGTTTATGAACACGCTTACACTGGTCTGTTGTGGGAAATCTTATATGCAACTTGAGTAGTCACTTGAATTCAGCCTATTTATGGGGTTTTCATCATTAGATTGCAAGTGGACATCATCTGTGTTGAGAATCAACGTTGAATAGAGCATGCCTTCGTAGTTGCATCAGGAAGCTGTGTATGTAATCTTTACTCTGGCATGTACACTGTCGGCTCTTTTGCAGCTTCCATGAATCCCTTGCACTTAAACAACATTCAGTTAGTCGAGCTTACTCCATGCCATCTACAGTCTTAAGTGTTTATACTACTGCTATATAGTTATATATTTTATGCATTTTCATTTAGAATTGCTGAAATGTGTCTGATTGCTTACCTGAAAATATGGGCTTTTAAAGTGAAAAATTTGTTGTCGTACTAGAAATTTCTCTCTTGAGTATGCTGAGATCCATGAACTGTAGTAAACCTGGCTTTTAGGAGGACTTGCACTTATAACTAGGAATTTTCTATTCACCTATGTGGTCTTGGGTTGAAGTAGCTTTATGAGGTTTTCCTATTAGAATCTCCAGAAGTGTTGTGTGCTTCTTTGACTGTATTATAACTGACGTACAACATCCTGCAACTGCTAACTGGAATTTGTTGTTGATTTGGCTTACCACAATGTGACAGGTTGTGATCAAGAAAATGGAGTCCATAAATTCTAAAGCAGAAAAGTACAGAGAATTTATGGAGAAGGTGGAGCGGACTGTTTACATGGATACTCTCCCACCACAAGCTAATGAATCAGTACTGAAAACTGGGTTAGATCAGTTTGGTGATATCAAGAATATAAGCTTCATTCCGAACTACATGGATCCTAGGAACAACATGCGTTGTGCATTGGTTGAGATGAAGGACCATAATCAGGCAAAAAATGTCATTAAAACGCTCACTAACTCTCCTTTCATGATTGCTGGCATGCCAAGACCAGTGAGGGTGCTTCCTGTTGAGCTGAAGATGTTTGATGACCGTCCAAGAAAACCCGGCAGGAAAATAACATTCAATTGGTTGGAAGCAGATGACCCAGACTTTAAGGTCACAAAAGACATGAAGCGTGCTTTCGTAAGCAATGTAGTCAAAAGCGAGTTTCTATGCAGAAACGTTTTGGTGATCTAGAAGCATAAAATCGTAAGTTTTAAAGCGGAGTTTTTAATTACATAAGTTATAAAGACTGAGATTTTGTGTAGAAGCGTTTTAGTGACCTAGAAACGCAAAATCGTAAGTTTTTAAGTTTTAAAGCGCGATTTTGATTACATTGGTCGTAAGGCATGCTACTAAAACTGCATTAGCCCATAAGGTAGAGCTTGTGGCACTTGGAGGAAGACCCTGTTATGTCTTCCCTTCCTTTCTTTTATTTTCATGGTCTATTTCTATAATAGGTCGATTTGATCTGTCGTTTCCTAAATGCTGTTTTTCCCGCTTTCTCCAGCAACATCTGGAGGAAGAAGAGAAACTGCACAAACATCAAGTGGAGATCCTGAAAGCAAAATACAAGAAGTACGAGGTGGCGGATGGTGTGATAAGCGTTGGGACAACTCAGTGTGTGGTGAAGAGATACGGTATGAGAGTTGCAGATGATTGATAGGGTCCTCTAAGGTGATGGTGGTATACTCTCCATGTTCTTGTACAAATGACTTTAATGATTGATAGGGTCCTCTAAGGTGATAGTGGTATACTCTCCATGTTATTGACCCCGGTATACACAACTGCACACTAACTCTCGCCCCAGACAAATGACTTCAATGATTCAAGTGAGAGAAGGGCGCCATGGAGGTTTTGAGAGCTATGAAGTTGTGCCATGGTTGTGTTTAGTATCGTCATGTTTTCTTCTCATTTACTATGAAGTATGACCCCAATCAGAGTTGGTACCGTATTGAATTTACGTTGTAACACCCCTAAAAGTGTAATCAATGACTTCAAATTCAGAACTATGAGCTTAGAAGTTGCATTTTCCTCCTTTGTAGATTGATTCAACATTTCTTGTGATGTTAATCTAATATGATGTCAGGTGATTGGAATTCTTGCCAAATGAGAGCACTTGCTGTGTTTGCCTTGGTAGTAACTTCTCCTTAATTATAGAGATTTTAGCTTAATGGAGCTCAAACAACAAATCAGCCCATTATACAACCTCAAACTCACTCATTATCAAGGCACGTCAATTAGATGCCAGACAATGCAAGTAAATACATCTTGTCCACGTTTACTGCTGGTCAACATAAGGAATTGTTGAATAATTGGATTACTGATAATGGTGCATCTGATCACATGTGTTGTAGCCTTACCTTTTTCACATCATATCATCCAGTCGAAAACTCATTTCTTACCCTACCAACTAGTGCTAGAATCAAAGTAGCACATATTGGAACTGTTAGAATAAACCATAATCTTATCTTAAACAATGTTCTACATGTTCCCAGCTTCACTTTCAATCTTATTTCTGTCAGTTCTGTAACCAAAACCTTATCAATCACCATAAGCTTTCAATCTTACTTCTGTGTTGTCCAGAACCTTCATCCACAGAAGAAGATTGGTTTTTCAAGAGAGCTTAGATGATTATACCAACTTCAAACATCCATTCCTAATCCTCAACCAACTATCAACCTAGTGGCAGCAGTGAGCAAACCTGAGAATGAAGACATGCATTTGTGGCATGCTAGATTAGGACATCTATCTAATTCTAAAATTAAATTGTTTCAGATATGTAATCCTGAATTACCGGTGAATGTTATTGATCACTGTGAAACTTGTCATTTTGCCAGACAAAAGAAACTACCCTTTCCTTTAAGTTCCCATAGCAGAAAAGAACCTTTTGAGATTATACATTGTGGTATCTGGGGTCCCCTAAGCACTACTTCTTATGATAATTTTTCCCACTTTTTAACCATTGTAGATGACTTTTTTAGAGAAGTCTGGATTTACCTTATGAAAAAAAATCAGAAGCTAGACCTCTCTTATAACAATTTTGCACCATGATCAACAATCAATTCGATAAGCTAGTTAACACCATAAGAACTTACCAGGGAAAAGAATTCCATATGGCAGATTTCTTTAGAAATCATTGCATTACCCATCAAATGTCTTGTGTAGAAGGACAACAACAAAATGGAAGGGTAGAGAGGAAACATAAGGACATCTTAAATAAAGCTCGAGCCTTGAAATTTCAATCCAATGTTCCTCGGACATTTTGGAGTGATTGTGTTCTCTATGCTGTACATATTCTAAACAGACTTCCCGCACCTATCCTAAACAACAAGACACCCTTTGAAAAACTATACAACAAACCACCTTACTACTCACCACTTTGAGTTTTTGGTCTCTATGTTATGCTACTACCTTAGGGTCAGGCATTAAAGGTTACAAAATATATGATCTAACCACTAGACAAACATTTTCTTCCAAAGATGTGCCTTTTCATGAAACTATCTCTCCCTTTTCACCATCTAGCACATTTAAACCATCTGAACCATCTCCACCAACCAACACAATTTCTCCTTCAGTCACTTTATCCTTACCACCTCAACCTCATGTCCAAACCTCAACAAATGATCATTTGCATACAGGTCTTGATTAAGATATTCATAACATTCCTAATAAGCCACTTTCACTTGGTTTCATTAACTTTGAAACCATGATGAACATGATGTTTAGCTCATAGATGAAGTGGAAGCAAACGGAGAAGGGGGGACAAAATATACAAATCAACCAACTCCTACTTTAAGGATATCTAACAGGATAAGTAATCCCCCATTGTGGCATGAGGTTTATGTACTTACGTTAATTGGGGTTGTCTTCTCAAGGTTTTGTTGAGAATGGTTTTCTCTTTCAAATGGCAGAATTGGATTAAGGGTGTTGTTTTCTCCTCTCATCTGTCTATCTTGATCAATGGTGAAGCCAAAGGCTTTTCCCCTGCGCAAAAAGGACTCCGACAAGGAGATCCTCTCTTCTCGGGTCTGTTTTCCTTAGCTATGGATGTGCTTTCCTTCTTTTTGATCAAACTCAAAGAAGCAGTAAAGAGCAAAGGTTTCTTCATGGATGAAGTTCGGCAACAAGGAGATGTCACTCACCTTCTTTTTGTAGATGACATATTAATCTATTGTGATATTTCTCACGACTGGGTTCTATACATCTTAAGCACTCTTGTTTGTTTCCAAGTTACTACGGGTCTTAAGATCAATCTTGACAAATCTGTGATGTATATAATGGGTGATGTGCCTAAACCAGGATACTATGTTGATATATTTTAATACAAGTGGAGTAGAGTTCCTCCTAAATACCTCGGATATCCACTGGGAGCCAAACTTAATATTGTTTCTTTTTGGGACCCTATCTATCTAACTACAAGAAAAAACTAGAGAGTTGGAAATGTCGGTATCTTTCAAAAGGGGACAGACTTATCTTGAATATCCCGGTCCTTTCGAACTAGTCGGTCTACTATTTCTCCCTCTTCAAAGCACCTTGTAAGGCGATTGACATAATGGAGAAAATGCATAGGAATTTCCTGTGGGGAGGCGATGAGGGTGGTCAAAAACTTTCGTGTTCAAATGGGAGAAGTGTAAGGCCTTGAAATTCAACGGAGGGCTCAGCATCTTTGATTTAGCCGCTTTTAAAAGCTCTCTTTTGACTAAATGGCTCTGGAAATTTGCAACGGAAACATACAGTTGGTGGCGCTACCTTATCGACATCAAATATCTTAATATTTTATCTAGTTGGCAAACTGGTCGCTTAAGGGTTAGCGGTTCTAACTCTGTGTGGGTGAATATCTCCAAAGAGTATAACAATTTATGGAAGCTTGCTCATATCCAATGCAGTCAAAATCGCGTTTTAAAGCGTAAAATAGTACGTTTCTAACTATCTTAGAGCACTTTAGTTTCTACCTAAAAGCGCATTGTACACAAAAACGTAAAAAAAATGATGATAAAAGCGGTAAAATGCAAAAAAATGATAAAATCATTTTTTGTATCGCTTTTATACGTTTTTTAGCACATCATAGAGAATGCCCTGATTAATAAAAAATGTCATCGTTATTTTGGGTGGTAACTAAAAAAAATTCCCAAGGGGTCGCCGTTATTTTGTAGTCGAAAGGATGGGCTTCAATTTGTGAAAGGAACCTTAATTTAACCTCCAGCTCCAATAGCCGCTTGGAACTCACCTTCTTCCCGTTCAACTTCATCGTCCTCCTCCACCGCTGGCCACTACAGAAATCAACTACTTAAGTTGTTGAATCTGCCTCACTGCAGAAGTTGTCTCACAACTCCGACAAGCCTATCCCACCGTCGCTGGTCAGCTGCATAACACTTCTCATCCATGCCTCTACTGCTGCAAGACTCGCTGCCCCACAGTAAGCATCCCTGACTTACTGGGAATAAAGCTTCTCTGCTATGTTTGTGATTGTTTATTTGGAATCAAGCGTCTCTGCTGGTTTATATGTTTAGCATTAGCTTCAGAACAATCACAAACAGTTCTTAAAAGTCAAAACTTGTCCCTGCTAATATATTGGAGACTCTAATCTAGTAGAAGATACAGAAAAGAACTCCACCATGTATTTGGTTTAATTGATAGTTTGGTGGATAGGTTGTTCCACTACGTTGACAGCAAAGAACTTCACCATATATGTTGTCATATTCCTTTTTCTATATTATTCTAGTACTATTAATGATAGTAAGACATGTGATTATCCAATCATGGTGTTGGCCAGGTCATCTAATGGATGCATTCTAAAATTTATAGTTTCATACTTTATATATTTACATATTTTTAGTTATTTTATACTATGCATAAAAGCTTACGTTTATACGTTTCAATTCTACGCTTTATGATTTTACCCATTCACCGCTTTTAGGTAAAATCACATTTTTTACTACATTGCTCATATCATTTCTAGTAGCGGTGCTCATGTTTCTTTTTGGCATGATAATTGGATTCCCGGCATCACGCTTTCCACTACTTTCCCTCGAGTTGCAGCTACGTCTTCAAACCCTAAAGCTGAGATCACTGACATCATCTCTTATTGAGATGAGAGGATTAGTTGTTATCTAAACCTTAAATTCATTTTGAGAGGGGAAGTTGAGAGGCAAAGGATTAATCTTATAAATCTTCTTTCTTTCAATTGATATTTATCTTGCAGCTAACAGTCCTTCTAGGATCATCTAGACTCTAAATCCAGATTCTCCTTTTTCTGTTCGTTCCAGGTACAGGGCTATGATTAAAGACGGGTTCCTGGGAGTTCAGAACTATCCTTACGCAAACCGATGCGAACTTTGTCAAAGTGATGAAGAAACTTATAATCATCTTTTCATTGATTGTATGTTTGCTATTGATGTTTGGAGTGCCATTCAAGGGGTTCTGCTACCTCTCATTCTCTTAGGGGCGACATCAAAAACACCATCAGAGATTGGCCATTCAAGAACACCGGACTACATCGATGATTGGTTCACTTTCGTATGCCTTCATGCTACTCTTTGGCAGGTGTGGAAAGAACGTAATGAACGTATTTTCAAAAAGATAAAAGGCAAACCTCTAGAGCGATTTCACGGCAGATTAGCAAAATGTTTATTAATTGGCTTATGGCATACAACAAGGTTA